GTATTTCTTGGGTCTGGATGATTGAGTGACTGTCTAGACTTGGGAAATTTTCTTCCAGGAATTCATGGAATAGATTTTCCATGCCGTTATTAGTTTCTTTGCATTCTGGGATGCCAATTATTCTGATGTTTGGGCGTCTTATGGAATCTAGTATTTTCTTTATATTATCCTCATGTTTTTTTGTTATTTTCTCTATCTTTTTGGTCATTTTCTCTAGGTCAGAGGTTTTATCTTCTACATTGGGGATTCGATCTTATTATGGAAACTCCTGTCCTCATGGTCATTGGCTTCCATGAATCTTTGGATTTCAGCCTTCAGTTCTTCAGCAGTTGTGGAGTCATTCAGGAGTAGGTTATTTAGTTTCCATGTATTTGAGTATTTTTGAGGGCTTCTCTTGAAATTAATCTCAAGTTTAATTCCATAATGGTCAGAGAAGATGCTGGATATAGTTTCTATGCCTTTAAGTCTGTAGAAGCTTGCTTTGTGCCCTATGATGTGGTCAATCTTTGAAAAGGTTCCATGAGGGGGTGAGAAAAAGTGTATCTCGTGCTTTTTGGATGGAAAGTTCTATAGATATCTGTTAAGTCCATTTGATTTATGGTATCATTTAGGTCCTTTATCTCTTTATCTATTTTTTGTCTAGATGATCTGTCCAGAGGGGATAGTGCAGTACTGAGGTCTCCAACAATTAGTGTATTGCAGTCTATCTCCCTTTTTGATCTAAAAGTCTTTCCTTCACATATTTGGGTGCTCCTGTGTTAGGCACATAGATATTTATAAGTGTTATATCTTCTTGATGTATTGATCCGTTTACTACAATATAGTGCCCTTTGCTGTCTCTTTGAGCAGTTTTTGTTTTAAAGCTTATTTTATCAGAAATTAGTATCGCAACTCCAGCTCTTTTTTGGTTCCCATTTGCATGGAAAACCTTTTTCTGACCTTTCATTTTCAGTCTATATATGTCTTTATCCATGAGGTGGGTTTCCTGTAGGCAACAAATAGAGGGTTTCTATTTTTTCATCCATTCAGCCAGTCTCTATCTCTTGATTAGAGAATTTAATCCATTCACGTTCAATGTTATTATCGATGTTACCAGATCTATCCTGACGTTTAAGTTGGTCATTGTCTTAGTTGCCTTTTATTCCTATGTTTTTGTCTGTTAATTCTTTAGTTTTCCTGGAACAGTACTTTCTTCAGGGTTTCTTGAAGAGCTGGTCTGGTGTTGGCAAATTCTTCCAGGTTTTGCTTGCCTGAGAAGATTTTAATTTTTTTTCCCATAAAAAGAATAATCTTGCAGGATATAATAATCTTGGTTGAAATTGTTTCTCTTTTAACACTTTCAATACATCTTCCCATTCTTTCCTTGCTTGCATTGTTTCTGTTGAGAGGTCTGGTGTTAGCCTTATAGGATGACCCTTGCAAGTTACTTCTCATTTCTCTCTTGTCACTTTTAGTATCATGTCTTTATCTGTGATCTTTGACAGTCTGGCTAAGATGTTCCTTGGGGAAGATATTCTGGGGTTGATTCTATTAGGAGTCCTTTGTATTTCTTGGGTCTGGATGATTGAGTGACTGTCTAGACTTGGGAAATTTTCTTCCAGGAATTCATGGAATAGATTTTCCATGCCGTTATTAGTTTCTTTGCATTCTGGGATGCCAATTATTCTGATGTTTGGGCGTCTTATGGAATCTAGTATTTTCTTTATATTATCCTCATGTTTTTTTGTTATTTTCTCTATCTTTTTGGTCATTTTCTCTAGGTCAGAGGTTTTATCTTCTACATTGGAGATTCGATCTTCAGCCTGGTCTAATAGACTTTTCATACTTTCAAGAGAGTTTTTGATTTCCTGTGTTACAGACTTCATCTCTAATAGCTCCATCTGATTCTTTCTCAGAGTGTCCATTTCCTCTTTAATATCGTGGAAGGACTTCCTAATCTCCTGTAGATCATTGTCTCTTTTCTGTTCCAACTCATAGAATTTGTTCACCATGAATGTTCAAAATTCTTTCTTGGACATTTTGGTAATGTCCTCAGATTTTAGAAGAGATGGAGGGGAGTTACTCTGTTCCTTTGATGGAGACATATTTTCTGGTTTATTCAGACCTGAGGCTCTTCTACTTCTAGCCATTGGAAGATGTATTCACTTTTGAATACCTTGTAGGAGCAAGTGAGTGTTTCCTTTTGCTGCGAATTAATGTATGCAAAAGTCTCTCTTCTGTTGTTTTCAGTAATGTGGTCTCCAGAGCTGTACTCTATTCAAGTGTCTGAAGAGTAGTATCTCCGCATTCAAAGGTGGTTTGGTACAGGGGAGGATCCCAGGAAACTTTACAATACTACTGAATTTCAGAACTGTGATTCTAGATCTGTCTATCCCCTCTGGCAGGGTGGAGGATGAGGAAGAGAGGATAATGTAAGAGGAAAGACAAGAGTATAGAAGAGAATAAAGAAAAAGTCAGATTTCACCAGGGACCTAGAGATGGAACTGGTGCTCTCCTGCAGAGCAAGGACCACTCTGTGGAACAAGGGAGAGGTAGGTATTAACAAAACAAAAAGGAAGAGCAAAGAGAAAAAAAATAATAAAAACCTGCCTACCTCTCTAGGGGAAGGGGTACTGTTCTTGAGAGCCTGGAAGTGGGGCGGGGGTAGTGGTGCCCCTGCCTCAGTTTCCCTTGCTGGCCAGGAATCTAGAGATAGAACTGGCGCTCTCCTGTAGAGCAAGGACCACTCCCTCTAGGGGGAGGGCTCTTGTTCTTGGGAGCCTGGAAGTGGGGCAGGGGCAGTGGTGTCCCTGCCTTAGTTTCCCTTGCTGGCCAGGAACCTAGAGATGGAATTGGCGCTCTCCTGCAGAGCAAGGATCACTCTGTGGGACCTTATGTATATCTTTAATGACTTTTAAAGATGATCATAGATAACTGAGGAGCAAATTAAAAGATTGAGCTAGTACTATGTTTAAAAGGTAAATGATTTTATTTCAATACAATGCAACAAGAAAAAGGATAAGGCCTGCAGGTGGCATGGGGTTTAAGTCACTGGATTCTACATGGCCGACTGTGCAGTTCAAGTCCCAGATATGGTGGCTTGAAAATCATGACAGGGATGTGTGTGTGTGTGTGTGTGTGTGTGTGTGTGTGTGACCAAAGTCCCAGAGGAAAATGGAAAAGAAGGGATTGTAGAGTATTTATGCCCATGAGAGTTGATTACTTTCTCTCCCTCTTTCTCTCTGGTGATCACTTGCAAAATGTTTCAAGTTCTATTATACTTCAACATATTACATAAAGTTAAAAAAATACCCAGAAGTCTCTAAAGAAAACACTGATAATGTAATGACAGAAAAATTAACATTGATACAGAGTTGACCCCTGTTTACTATTCTTGAATTGTTATATGGTTATACTTTGCTATACTAGAATATTTCTTTCTTCTTTCTTTGTTTTTATTTTCTAGAGAGCACATGTGTTTTCCAGAGACAGACAAAAACAGAGGTAGAGGGAAAAAGCAATCCCCCCCAAGGGGACATTGCAATTCCTTCTCTTCTATTTTTCCATCTTATCAGGATTTCGGGCATGTGCACATACCAGCATGTTTTTCAAGCAGTCTGGGCTGAGATTTGGCATGTGCTTTGGCATGTGAGATCCAGATCCCTTAACCTCTAGGCTACAGGGCTAACTCTCAAACATTTTTTTTTCTTGCGGGGTTCATAACAGAGTCTTTTGCACATAGTAGGCATTCATAACCAGCTTCTTAATTAGATTTAGTATAAATTATGTTTGGATCCATCACATCAAGTTTCTCAACTTCCTTCACAAATGGCAGTAAGTCTGTAACTCACGCAGCTTCAGGATTTGCTCAGCTACCCTGAAAGCTAAAGGATTTAGTATCCGGGCATAGAAATATCTATAACCAATTCAAGACACATGTATGTGTGCAGGCTTACCAGCTAGGAAACTATGCTTAACAGAAAGAATATAGCACTGAGGGAATGAAGGTAACTTGTACAAAGACAACACTGTCCACTTTGTAGACAAAGAACAAATCTCTTACCAATCAATTTCCAAATAAATGAAAACTGACAGAAAGTACCCAGGAGACCTTAATTCTCTGAAGATAACTCTTAATTGATAAGGGTTTTTAGCATAATGTCCCTATTCCATAGGTTTTTAAATTTAGTGTTTGAATAGGTTGGTTTAAATGACACAAGCACAAAAAAAGTATATAGTAGCAAGACATGCCCTCAATTTTTGTCCCACATCTGCATGGCTCCTATTCCTCAATAGGTAACCACTGTTATCTTACTTTTTTTTTTTTTTGAGAGATTTTTGCTATAGGGCACATGCGCTCGCCAGACAGACAGAGAGAGACAGAGAGACAGACAGTGAGAAATCA